AAGACTTGGGGAGCCACGGGGCAGTTCTACTCTGGCCTACAGGCTCACTATGAGTCAGAATCAACTCTATGGCAGTGAATTTGGTTTCACTTTATTGTCCAGAAAAACAGACACTATCATTCTCTCCTAAATGACCTCACATAAGTTTCAAGGGTATTGTAGGCTATATTGTTTGGGAAGTTAGCACACAAATCCTCATTCACCTTGTTCACAACCTTCATATTTTTGTAGATCTTATCTTGTATCTCTTCTGAGATCTAGTCTTTCTGATGGGAAAATCCTAATCCTTTTAATCCCCAGTCCTGTGGCAGCAGTTCCCTGCACTCAGCTATTGAAGTTGTCCTTCTCTGGACTTTTCTCAGGGATGCTATGACTTTTGAAGTGCTGTGACCATTGTTGACCCATCTAGGTTATATATAAGCAGAAGTAAATGGAATAACTTTGAGAGTGTGTACAAAAAACAAATGTAGCATTAGAAAATAAAAGTATGCTCCAAAAAGGAGATTAAAATTAGTCTCATTGTAACAGTTGGCAAGGTGGAATTGGGAGAGAAACAATTTTTAAGAAGGGGTGTTAACAACCTCATCACTTCCTAGCTCCAAACCTTCAAAGACAACCATCATATGCACAGTACAATCAACAACCATCACTCTGAACTCATCTTCAGCTGCACCCCGCCACCTGCTTCAACCACACCTACCTTCTTGCTGTTCTTGACCCACACCAAAGCCCACCATGACTCCAGGCTCCTCATCTACCTTCTGCCAGCACCATTCTTCTTCCAGGCCCCATATGGCTCAAATAGTACTTCTCAGAGAAGTTTTTCATTAACAATCAAGGATGCTTCTCCAATTTTATTCATTATGATACTTGCTCTATTCCTATTAGTCTTTGCTTTATAAGTGTGGCTTTTATCTTTGCATGATCAGTGTCCCCCACCTGTTAGAGTATAAACCTGGTGAGGGTGAGGACTTTGAATTCATAATTGCTACACCCTCAAAATTAGACTAGTACCTGACAGGGATCCCACTATGGTCAGTTGATTCCATGTCATAGGGACCCTACATGAGAATTTCCAAGACTGTAAATCTCTACAGGAGCAGGTACCTTCACCTTTTCCACATGGTTCAGCTAGTGGCTTTGAACTTGCCAGTGTGCCCAATGCCTAATCCACAGTACCACAGTGCCTGACACCAGAGCCCCTTACAAACAAACAGACAGACAAACTCACTGCCATCTAGTCAATTCCTACTCATAGAAACCTGATAGCACAGTGTAGAACTGCCCCTGGGAGTTTCCGAGGCTCTAAATCTTTAAAGGAGTCCAATGATTACTTGTATGAAAAAAGAATAAATTGGATAAGGAAGGCAAACCAGTTAAGATGTGAATGCTGAAACCAAACTGTCTGGGTTCAAATTCCATACTAGCCAATTGCATGCCTTTGGGCAAGTTATTTAACTTCTCTTCTGTATTAAGTGTTGGACTGCTTATCACAAACTTGCTGGTTCAAAACCTACCTGCTGCTTCAAGGAAGAAATATGAGACTATCTGCTCCCGTAAATATTTACAGCTTGTGTGAACCTATACAGGACACTGTGAGTCTGAGTCAAATCAATGCAATGAGTTAAGTTTTAGGTTATATGTTGTTGTGTGCTGTCGAGTTGATTGCAACTCATAACAGCCTTATAGAACAGAGTAGCACTTCCTCACTGGGTCTCCTGGTTGTAATCATATGGAAGCAAATCACCAGGTCTTTTCCCCAAGAAGCCACTGATGGGTTTGAACCACCGACTTCTCATTAGCACCCAAGCGTTTAGCCACTGTGCCATGGGGGCTTATTATTTTCCTATCTAAAGTTTGCTTACTTACAAAATGAGGATGATCATTGCACCCATTTTTGGGTAATTTTGGATTATTTTGGGAATTAAATGTTTAATATATGGAAATTTCTTGGAAGAGTGTCAAGAACAAGTCATTGCACAATAATTAGAGAGGCCTTGATAAAATGGAAAAGCAAGAAGCAATGATAGCCTCTCTTCTTGGATTAGATAACTTTTGTATGAAAAGATCAAGGTGGTTTGATACCCAATGTTTCTTACCTGCTCTGTATGTTGTTTTTCAAAGAGGAGGATTTAGTTTGAAGGATAATTTCCTATTTGTGGAATGTCTGAAATTTTTCTTTCTTTTTTTTTCCACACTGAAGAGACATAAAATTCACAACTGCAATACTTTCACTTGTCTAATAGACATTTGCATGGATCATATATTTAAAGTTTAATATCGGTGTGCAACATGCTCTTTAAAGCTTCTGGGTCTGGCACATGTAAGAGTTATAATGCCTTGCTCACTCTAAATAATGTTACAAGGCACAAAGGAAAGTGCAATACTACTCGTTAGTCACTGCTACAAGTTCATATGTCTCAATGGTTGTTTTACTTTCCACAGAGAAGATGTGATTCCTTTAAAATGTGTGCATGGAATTATATGTGTTTATTCTTGAACTTGAAAATGCAATTGCCACAACTCCTTGTGAAATTTTTGTTGTTTTGGGTAAATGAGAAGAGATATTTCCTCTCTTTTTTAGGTTGAACAGTGGGAAAATTATGCTATTTTTCAATGTAAACTAGTTTCATAAATTTAAAACAGGTAGGTTCATGAAATCCTCCTAAGTATTAAGATGTGAGCTGTGTAGTCTGGTAGATGAGAGAATACTGATAATCAGTCAAGAGCTATCAGCAAAATAAGAGCAGAGACATTCTTGACGCATGATAAGTAAAGTACCAATGAAAAAACCGTGGTAGGGGTTGAGAAGCAGATGCAGGGACACTGGGGTTTTCTACTTCTGGCCAGATCCCACTCTTACCTGTAATTGACACTGCAGATAAAGAGTTATTTTGAGATGCCAGGAAAGCCTCATTTGAAACTGTAACTGCTTCACTCTCACACGTTATTGCAAATAAGAACAGTTGAAGGACACTTATTAAACATCAAATTGCTTGTTTGCAGCAGCAGCATATAAATTATAAGAAGCTTTGTTAATTTCATATTTGGATAGCTTATTTTATGTCTTCTACACAAAGCTCCCAGTGAGAACCTCTTTATTCTCTTTTTTTTATTGTGATCTAGGTGAATGAATGTTCACAGAGCAAACTTGTAGTACATTCAGCAATTTGTACACATCTTGCTTTCTAAGCTTTGTTTTTGGGTGAATGCCTCTCTTTTGGTCATGTAATGTTGATGATTCCAACAAGTGCATTCCTCACAAGTTGAGAGATTTCTTTTAAAATGCAACAACCTGTGAAATTTTGCACTGCTTGAAGAAGGGCATAGTTTTTCTCTAATGATTACTGATTATTATTTCCTCCATCTGCTCCCTTGAACAGCCAGAAAGCCTACTTCTGATATGATGATGGAAAGACATAGGACCTTATGATGTACTTACTCATGGGCTTATGTTTTTCACCCTTCTGATTTTAACTTTCTGCTTCTATTATTGCTATTTTAAAGTGTTTTACTATTACAGGTGGTGCCTGGGTTTCAAAGACTCAACTTACCTGTGACCATAAATCCTTGTATTAAAAATATACAGTAAAACCACAGATTTTAATAACAAACAGCTGCTACTTTGAGGCATACATCACATTATTATTGTTATTATTATTATTGCTACTGTAGTATTATGTTGAAGATATTTTAATATATCTGGAAGTGTTTCTTAAATTATCTTTTTGCACAGAAGATACACTGTATGCTAAGAAACACTTGACCAAATGACATTAGATGTGAACCTGACATTACTTATATACAAATTTGATTTAAAGACATATTGAAGAATAGAGATTGTTTGTAATCTGTGAATCATCTGTATGATATAGGGTATGTGGTGCTGATTTATGCAGCCTCAAATGCTTTGTAAAATGGTGTGGTTTTAGTTTAATAATTTCATTAAAAAGGCTGATACAAATAGTTTTTACTCAACTACTAACTAAATGGGTGGTGAGTTGAACTGACACCCAAGTTGCAGCTTGGGTGAAAGGCCTGGTGATATGCTCCCACAAAGATTATAAACACATAACAGAGGATATTTCAGATAGAGATTTATATTTAGATACTTAAAGACCTCTTTAAAGTGTTGAAAGCAAGGATGTCTGCAGATATGGTAGCTCAGTTAAGGCAGAGAAGGATCACTGAGACAGCTTTGATGTGTTTTGTCCATTTCAATATTTCATATCTTGAAGGCATTGGTGGTTCAGTGTTAGAATTCTTGTTTTCCATGTGGGAGACCTGTGTTGCATTTCCAGCAAAACAACTCATATGTAACTACCACCTGTTTATGTGGGGATATCTGTATGTTGTTACGGTGCTGAAGATGTTTGAGCAGAACTTCCAGACTATGATGGACTAGGAAAAAGTCTTGAGGATCTACTTCCAAAAGCTGGTTAATGCAAATCCTATGTATTATAGTGGTTGTATTGTAACCAGTCATGGAGATAGTACAGTCAGGCAGTATTTCCCTCTTTTGTAGATGAGGTTACCATGAACCAGGGGCCAATTCAATGGCAGCAAACGACAGCATAAATTGATAGGCTATGCCATGTATGAGAAACAGGTCTATTTGTTGTGTGTCCTGTATGCTTTTGACCACTACTTTATAAAATAAGGAAACTGAGGCTAAACAAGTTTGAGTAACTTTCACCAAAGTCAGCAGGCTGGTTCAGACCCTCAAGTGCCTTACTTTGAGAGCCATTCTTACCCCTATGCTGTAGAATTTCTAGGGCTCCTCTTATCCTAGTGATGCTACAAGTATATGCTAATTGCAGTCATTCATGTGTGAAAGGTTAGTGAGCTTTCTGATTTTTTCAGCTTAAAATTATTTTTTCAGCAGCAGAGCCAGCCTGTTTAGGAGAAACCCCTTGGTCCCAAGCAGTACAAGCATATGTTTCCCCTGGAACAGAGCATCTCACATTACTATGATTTACACATTGGATTCTCTGACTTGCCTGTTGTGAGGAGGGTCCCTCCTTCGGATCCTCATCTGGGTCCATGCCAACTCTGTTAAAAAGACAGGAAAACTGGTGAGGGTCTTGATATAGACAAGAGAGTAACATGTACTAGATTACTTGATCCAAATGTGATAGGCAGCACAGGATGTTTTGGATGAAAACCATCCTAGCTCTCCCTGAATTACAAGGACCAGATATCGAGTTATGGTAAAATGAAGGCATGTTATAGTTGGGCCACAGCAGGAGCCTGAGAACTGGGAGTGGGTGGTAGAGAATATGGAAAAATTCCTCACAGCCCTGACAACAGGAATGGGATAAGCTGGTATCCTTGGAGGACTGCTGACCAAATTATCCAAGGGAACATTGGAGTTGAGGCTAAACCTCCATGGCCAGAGAAACCTGGTCCTTTTTCCAGATGTTCACCAGGCCTGTCAGCATAGAGTACTCACTCAGGTCTTGGATACTTGGAATTTATTTAATGTAGAGGTCCTCTTTAATAAAATGAGCCCCATTAGCAAAGGGCTGCTGCTGTTACATCAGTTAGTATGCATGGTGTCTCTATAGCCTTTGATATTCTCTAAGAGTAGGGAAAATATTTCATGTATTTCATTTACATAAGACAAGGGGAAGAAAGAGAAAGAGGAAAAGGGAGAGGGAGGGGAAAGAGAAGAGGCAAGAGAGCAATAAGAAGGACCTATGTAGAAGAGGAGGAAGGAAACAACAAGGAAGACCAGAGAGCAAAGCAGTGAGAAGTAGGATCAGAGGAAAGAGGGTCCAAGGAAGTGAAGTGAAGGGCAGCAGCAGCCAGAGAAAAAGGTGATGAGGATGGAGTAAGAAAGGAGGAAGGATGAGGGGAAAGAGGATTCAGGAGCAGCATAAATCCAGCTTCCCAAGAAGTGTCAGTCCAGGTATGATCCTGAGGAATGGGTGGTCTGGGTCCAACCTCTCTGTGCACTGGGGCACCTGTTTGGAGTGGCCACAATCTTCTCCTTGGACTACCTTCCTTGCAGTTTGCATTCTGACCTATGTTGGCTGTCACTCCCTCACTCCTCCACTATCAAGCTTTATTACTAGATCAGGCAGACCCCCACCACTACCCAAAGGACTGTTGGGCACTCAATTCCACAGGCTGCCAATGGAATCACGTGTCCCAAAGCTCACACTGGTACATCTGTTTAGGGTCCATTCATAGTTCTCTGCCTGGAAAGTTGGGATGAACTGAAATCAAAGTACACCAGAACCTCAATGAGTAAAGTGTGAGGCCATTCTTGTATTTTCCCTTAAAAATCAATTGCTGCTCCCTGCAGCAATCAGTTATTCCAGCAGCCAATGGTGCTGAGTTATTAGAATTCAGGTCTTCTGCTTTCTGTGGTCCTGAGTGGCAAGCACCACGGAGTCTTGAGGGTGATGCTGTTCTTCCAGGAGAGGACCTTCCTGCTCCTTTGTCCAATCTCACAGCCAGGGGTTCTCTGCACCCGAGGCAGAAGAAACATCTCCAAAGGACTGGAGGAAAGAGACCTTTCTGTTAGTTACAGCCATTCTGGGGACATGAATGTGAACAGGACAGACCTAGCCTCTGGCCTCACAGAGCATATAGTTTAGGAGATTTCATTTGAAAAAAATCTTTATTAAATTTGAAGTTCTATGAAGATAAGGCACTTAAGGTTAATATCTTGGATAACATTGACCTCAAAGTGCAAACTATAAAAAGAGACAAGGAGGGGCACTATATAATGCTCAAGGGAATGGTAGACAAAGACCCACTAAGCATTTTGGACATATATTCACCAAAAGAGAGACCTGCTGAATACATCAACCAAATGCTCCAAAAGATGAAGAAAAAAAAAATCACAGGCTCAACAATTACAGTAGGCAACTTCAACACACCACTCTCTGAGAAAGATAGATCACAGGGAAAGAAACTCAACAAGGAAGCTAGAGATCTAAACACAATTAGACAATTTGATCTGATAGAGAAATTTACAGAGCTCTTCACCCAAATACAAAAAAAAATCACATTCTTTTCAAGCCCGCATGGCACATATTCAAAGACAGACCACATGGTGGAGCATAAGTCAAATATGCATAAATTTAAGCACATTGATATCATACTGACCTCTCTCTCTGACCACTGTGCCATAAAGCTGGAAAGCAACAAAAGGAAGATGAAGAAAAAAGAGCAAACAATTGGAGGATTAATAATTTTATTGCAAAAGGAGTGTGTACTGGCTCAGATCAGAGATGAAATTAGGAAATTTCTAGAAACCAATGAGCAGGAGACCACAATGTACCAAAACTTATGGGACACAGCAAAGGCAATTATTAGAGGAAGTTTCATAGCAATACTTGCACACATGAAAAAGGAAGTGAGACTTATAATTGATATGCTGGCACAAAATTTGCAGCAACTAGAGAAGAGTCAACAGGACAATCCTACTGATAGCAAAAGAAAAGAAATAATATAAATCAGGGCTGAGATTCAGGACAGGGAAAATAAGAAAGCTATGGGAAAAATCAATGCTGCCAAAAGTGTTCTTTGAAAGGATAAACATAATTGACAGACCACTAGCAAACCTAAGCAAAAATAGGAGGGAACAAATTTCAATAGGAAGAATGAGGGATGAAAGAGGGGACATTACAACAAACCCTAAGGAAATAAAAAGGATAATTACACAGTACTATGAAGGACTATACTCCAGTGAATTCAACAACTTGGAAGATATGGACAAATTCTTGGAAAAACAATCTCTCCCCAGACTATCCCCAATGAATGCCAAGAATCTCAATAGACCCATAGTAATAGAAGAAATAGACAAAGTTATCAAGGGATTAGCAACAAAAAAAATCCCCGAGACCAGATGGTTTCACAGGAGAATTCTACCAAGCATTAAGGGAAGAACTGGCACCAATCCTACACAAACTCTTCTAGAATATAGAAAAACTCTCCCAAACTCCTTCAACTAAGCTAGTATACCTCTGATACTGAAACTGGGCAAGGATCCCACAAGAATTGAGAACTACAGACCAATATCACTAATGAACATCGATGCAAAATATTAACAAAATACTGGCCAAATAGAGTACAAAAATATAAAAAATAAATAATTCACCGTGACTAAGTGGGATTCATACCAGGGATGCAGGGATGGTTCAACATACGAAAGAACATTAGTATCATTCACCACATTGACATGAAAAACTATAAGAACCCCATGATAATATCGATAGATGTGTGAAAAGCATTCGACAACATCCAACACCAATTCCTGTTTAAGACACTCAAGAAGATTGGAATAGAAGGATAATTCCTTAACATAATACAAGCTATATATGAAAAACCAATAGCTAATGCGGTAATCAATGGAGAAAAGATGAACACAATTCCACTGAAAAAAGGGACCAGACAAGGATGCCCCTTGTCCCCACTCTTACTTAACATCGTACTGGAGGTCTTACCTAACAGCATAAGGCAAAGGAAGGACATAAAAGGTATTAGCCTGGGGAAGGAAGAGGTGAAACATTCATTATTCACAGATGATATGATTTCATATATGGAAAATCCGAAAATGTACACAAGGGGAGTATTGGAAGCAATACAGGAATATGGCAGAGTGGCAGGATACAAGATCAATAAAAAGAAGTCTATCAGACTGCTATACACATTGGATAAGATCGCAAGAGATGAAAAAGGTGGTACCCTTCACAATAGCCAAGCACAAGTTGAAATATCTAGGGATATACCTGACTAAAAGAACAAAAGATTTGTATGAGGAAAACTACAGAACACTATTATAAGAACCCAAGAGTGACCTCAACAAACGGAAGAATATCCCTGGCTCATGGATTGGAAGACTCAATATAGTAAAGATGTCAGTTCTGCCCAGGGCAAGATATAAATTTAATGTAATCTCGATATAATTACCCTCATCTTTCTTCAAAGAAATGGAAAAACTGATTACCAACTTCATATGGAGAGGGAAGAATCCCAGAATAAGCAAAGAACTTCCAACAACAAGAACAGAATGGGAGAGCTTGCTTTACCTGAATTTAGCACATATTGTCCACCACAGTGGTCAATACCACATGGTATTGGTATAAGGACAGGTATTCAGACCAATATGAAAGAACTGAAAACCCAGAAATAAAATCATCTGCATATAGACAAGTGATCTTTCATAAGGTCCCAAAAAATATCAAATGGGAAAAAATTGATATCCACCTGCAGAAAAATGAAGAAAGACTCTTATCTCACTCCATGTACAAGAATAAACTCAAGGTGGATCACGGACCTCGATGTTAAACCCCAAACTATTTCGGCCATCAATGAGAGAATTGGGACAAACCTGAGAACTTGGGCGCAGTGAATACACAGGCTATCAGAAACAGGGAAGGACACAAATACAGATGAGTCACAAATTGACAAGTAGGATATACTGAAGATAAAA